CCAACGTAAACGAGATCTGAATTAAAACAGTGGTCACTTAAAGGAATAGAATACACTCCTGTACTATTGTTACGGTTTCCTTTCTTCTTATCATTTTGTAGAATTCTATAAATCGTAGGATTACAATGATAAATTATTCTTAAATTATTCTTGTGAGCTAATTTTTTAATCATCGAGTGTAGGAAAGGTTATTAAAGATGAATACTTCTTTCCAAAAAATGTACGAGATCCGAAACTAAAATTTTTTAATAAAAACATTTCACTTTATTTTATGATAAAATACGTTTTAAAAATTAAACTTATATGTATTTTGCATTATATTGTATTAATAAACAAAATTATTTGCTTATTTTTCACTTATGTAGATCCTAACACTATACCTCACTGTAAATATGGGTTCATTTTACGCTGATTTCATTTGTGCCGGATTTTGTAGGAATGGAACTGCGGTGTAAACTGAGAGCTACCTGTAGTGACAAAACAAAGTGAAAACATGGAAAGAAAACTCAGCAAAATAGCAGTAAAAGTTTTTTATTTTTATTGTTATGGTTAAATACATTTTAAAACTTTTTGTATATACTGTAATATTTCCAGTAAACCATGAATACTTAATAAGTCTTTTGCTTCTTCTATAAATAATCAGTCAAGAAAGATGATGTTCTTTTATTAAGATTTTTCTGAATGTTTTGAAACATTCAGAAAAATCTCAATAAAATGACATTCTTAACATTCAGAAAAATCTTAAAATAAAATCTTAATGTGAGGGATGGGACCCAACATATCCGTTCGGATATGTTGGGTCCCATCCCTCACCACCCGGCAGCCCCATTGTGGGCCTGGTCGAACCCATAATGGGCTTGCAAAAAGAGGCCCTCTTAGTGCCCACAGGGCGGAAAGAATTAAAAAAAAAGGACCAACACTAACAGACTACCTATTGTTTAAAAGGCCCTCTGGTGGCCCAAGAAGACGGATTTTATAAAATAAAAAGCAGTTGAAATCACATTTTTATGAATAAAAATTTGACAAAGTATTTATCGTTTTCTGACGAGTAAAATTTTTTCGTCGCGTTCGCGGCTTTTAAGTAATGCATAAACCTTTGAAACGCGAGGCATAGGCAGTGGCCCACGTTGCCCATGCCTTATGCCGCCCTTGGTCATAGAAATGATGTAATTTGAAAATAAAATTATTTATAAATACGTATGTCAAGTTATACTTTTATTATGACGCAAAATATATGTAAGAGTTTACGGCCACTGTGCCGAGTGAGATGTTGAAACAAAAAAAGTTATGCATTCCATCACGTACATAAACAGTATTGTAATTCGCCAAGTGCAAATCAGCAAATTCGTAAAATTTTTGTTTATTTTGAACAATCCGGATAATTGAGGTTCTACTGTATTTATATCAATAAAACTTTCAATAATACATTATTTACAATGATTGACGTTTTTTTATTACCCTTTCTATATTATGTATTAAACACAGTTTCGTAGATTGTAGCATAATAATGTGTATGAAAACTGGAAATTCTGTTAATTAATTTGTAAACGCAGATACTTTCACATAAAAAGCATAGGCCTACTTGTAAATTCTACATTTCACCTGAGATAATCGCGATTGAATTTTCCTAAATTAAATTAATTAATTTCTAAATTACTTGACAGAAAGAAATGTTTATGATCCGTATTTTCTACATCTAATATTTTTGTCACGACATTATTTCAAACATCGAAAAAATATAGATTTCTAATATCGAAATATATGAATATTATATTTTGATATTTTTATCTTCCTTAACTAAGAACATATACTTTTGTCCTAAAACATTAACTTTTTGCCAACCAAAGAAAAAATGACAATAAATTATAAGATATGTCGGAGGGGCGGTCAAGGTGGCAGCCTACCGCTCTGGGGGACCCGGGCTTGAATCCGAACGGATCGAAAATATCTCCAGGAACCTTTCGGGGATGGTCC